GAAACCACAAAGAGCATTTTTCATGGCACGGCAGCCCAGTAATAATTCTCCATTTATTAAGGTCAAAGAACTAGCTACTCAAATGGAGGACGGCGGCTTTTCACCTTCACCTGTGATATTTAAACTTCTACAGAGTTGGCTCTGGTAAGTCAGTTTCCACCTAGGAAATGTAAGCATTATTCAGTGTTTCATGTGGCAGACTTGTGATTCTTATTCAATTCCTACCCACTCCTGCTCCAGAAATTATACATTTAAAGAACGGGAAGACATTCAACAAGCAGGTGTGCACATCTCAAACTACAAACATTATACAAACAAAAGGGTCAATACAAACAACAGAATGCCAAGCTAAGAGGTCTAAATTAAGCAAAGGTGTACAAATTCAGATGCTTAACCCAATTTGCTCCTTTAAGTTTTCTTCGTTTAGTCAACTTAGATCTTCTAGCTTGGCTGTTTAATGTGCATCTATTTTCTCAGGAACCAAAAAGAAAATGGCTAAAGGTCGTGCGTTTTCTGGTTTTGTAACTTTAAAGCAACATTATTTTGAGCAAGGAGATAAAGCACGTTTGTGTCTGAATGGTCACAATCCTTTGGATGCTGCCGCGGTATCTGCATAAGCCCGTCATGATTTTAAACGTGTTTGACAATATGACTTGGCGCTGATGCTGCTGCCTCGTGCACCCGGGTCTGGCACGCGCACCTCCTAGCCTCACCATTTTTCCCTTTCCTCCTCCTCCCTTCCCTGCAAGCGGCTGGGACGGACAGCAGCCGAGTATCTGGGATCAGTGAGAACCTGGGTTCATGCAAAGAGTAGCGACTGATCCCTTGTTTTCAAAGAGAAATACTGAAGTGCTATCACCCATCACTACAGAAAAGTCATCTTACGCCGAACTCCCCGGCAACTCCATGGTGTGTTTTTCTCCTAAACAAAAAAACACCGTCTATGCAACTCTGATGTCTTATTGACAGCTTGAATACCAAGATAAAAGGTAAAGCAATGTTTCTTCCCACAGCCTATCAGGAATACTTTAACAACCAAGAAGATTCAGATCAGCTTTAATCAAAGCATGAGCGGCTGGGTATTTAAGCAAGAATAACTTGTATTCAAATAATCATTACTGATGTCAAATTAACTTTCTGAGTCATTACCCTTTAAATGTCAGTGAGCAGAGCGTGTCATTCGCATCCATGATTTAGATCAGCAGACATCCCCACATCCCCCAAAAGATGACAGAATCAGTGTTTACTCATCAACATAAAGTCCCATTTCTTTTTAAAGTAAAACATTCAGTAAACATTTCAGCATTTTCTTCAATTTGAAGTGATGGTAAAGGTGGGGGGAGTTTTATCCATGTGACACTGAAAAACAAATATCTTAAGTTTTGTTTTTTTAAACAATCAACTGGATTCACGAAAGTTGGCCGAAATGAAACACGACGAAGACCTTCCCGGCAGCTATTGCCTTGCAGTTGCCTTTTTATGAACAGAAACATTATTACATAGTGAAACCCTTACATCTACCAACGTTGAACAGGCACCACATATCATCAGAAGAAATAAATTCTCACTCAGTTTCAGAAGAAAACTTCCTTTTGCTATTACAGCAGCAATCCACATCCCAAACCGTACCTATGTATAAAAATTCAAGTTGGAACAAGGCAGTTCTTTACAAACCCCATCCATTTTTTTGAAGTATACTGAATAAAAGATTGCCTGTATCTTGCAATGTAAGAACAGTGCAACAAAATCTTTTATTGCTGACCAGGAAACAGTTCCACGTGATTAACAAAGGCTTGTGCCCTTGTTCAAAAACAGTCAGATAATTAAGTATCAGACACTAATCATGTCCATACAGTTTAAGTCTGCTTCCTTGTGTACAAACACAAGAAAAACAAATCACTGATCTTCTGCAAAACTAAGCCGCATTCACTGTGAGACTTTTTTTGGCGAGTGAAATGAAGGAAATGGTTCTGATACAGTGAATAGCTGTCTCATGAAGTTATCTTCGTAAGGAAGAAGGTTCTGCAGGAAGAGTATGCCTGAAAACTGCTAACAAATATACACAAGGAGGCAGGACTGATGAAAAGCTACATGTAACCTTAGATTTACAGCCTTACTACTGCAACTCTGCAAAATACAAAATGGCTTTGTATGAAAAAAATTTTAAATAAAACATCTTTTACATGATTGCAAGTGCATAGTTTACAAGTTCAGCCTTGTATGCCTGTTGTCAGTTTTACAGCCAAGAGGGACAATGTTTTGACAGATGACAATACAGGATAAGCCCTTTATCATGTTTCACTTTTATTGAACATTTTCTGCAAATGCAGATTACAACCTTGCTTCAGGTTGCACGCATCAACTTAAGCCATGATAAATCACTACGTTTTGAAATCCAAATCCTAGTGGTAAGGGGTTAAGTAGTGGTTGATTTCTGTAGTTAGAGAAATTACAACAGTGTAACAGTCACTCATAAAAGCAGTATGGTGCAAGAGGCTCTTTGGTGCCAAAAAATTGTCAGTGATGCATTTATGAATGCTACTGAGTAGAAAGCAATCCAAATTACAACTCTTCCTCGCAGTGCTACAGAAACATTAAAGTACACTGGAGACTCCCGTATCTTGAGCAGTCTGCGAAGAAATATCACCAGTAAAGAAAAGCTGTATAAAAACCAATGACAAAAGACTTAAATGAGAAAGTATATCCTATCTTTCATCCTGAAATACAGGTCAGGTACGGCCCAGCTCTACAGCAGGCATATTAAATAATCAGATTTAAGGTGATCTACACATTGAGACCTGAAAGATCACTGCCTTAATCTTACACCCATTTATATGGGCATTTATGTGGCAATGTACTTGCATCATCTAATTCTTCAGTAGCGCCTAAAGAACATACTGCTTACACACCAGCATGCATCCAGAACATGGTCAAACATCTAGAATTATGTAGAAACCCCAGATTTCAAGTGAAGTCTTAAGAAATCCTAAAGTAACTTGCAATTCATACATCTACTGAGTCGTGATTTCTTTTTTTTTTTTAAACCGGGTAAGTGTAACAAAAATGCAGACTTCGCTGGGATTTTTTTTCCAAACTACAATGTATAGGCCGATCCTCGCGTAGATATACACATATATACAAAATTTATAGAAAAACAAAAGTCCTGTAGACAAAATTCCTAACTTGAGCGGAAAAACACTACGTATGCCATAAAGGAGAAACAGAGATAAAGGGCCAATTCTGTCATCACAAGCACTTATGGTTCCACGCTAACTTCAGTCATTATTGCATGCATTAGATGCCCAGAGTTACAGCTATCTCTGGGTACAATTGAGCCAACTGACTAAATCGCTCTTCCAGTATATCTCACTTTCAACCTGATCTAAAAGTCAAGGTACTATTAAGCATGTCAAGTAGAAGAGGAGGAAAAAACCTCATGTGATTTGCTACAGCATTAAGCGTAGTTACTTGCACAACCTGGCTGGGTTTAACAAAACTGCAAGTTTCCATTTCAAAAATCTATTCTAACTTGCAACACCTGCATGGTAAGAAACAGAAAAGATAAAATACACAGCTCCTCAGACACTCATTTAGAACTATCATCTCTAAAATCAAACATTCTGTTTCTTTTAAAATGCAAGTTTGCTTCACTGAACTATCACTGCAAATCCTACATTTTTTTTTTTACTTGTGCCTGCCTCAGTGTATTTCAGCATACAGCTGAAACATTTGCACCCCCTAGCTGTCACAGGTAAGACACAGTACTTATATCTAACTTACATTCATTTTCAACTTCAAATTTATTGAGGCAGTTTATATCAATGTATCCATAAAATAATTCAGAAATAACCCAAGTATACCATTTAAACATCTTCATGATTTATCCATTTACACACTCAGTACACAAACAACCCAGCCTCTGTACAGGTTCATCACATGCAAACCACCCATAAAGACAAAAACTTTAATTAAAAATAAGTCACAACTCAGTGTACTGTTTCAACTGCATCTCCATTTACCAAATGGCACATTGAATATTCTCTAAAATAAGATGTTTTTAACAATCTTGTTAAAAAATTCTTGGGCAAAATATTTCTAGACTTAAAAAACATCAAGATTTTTCAAAACACTCAAGATACTATACAACTTATAATAACCTTGAAATAGGTTTACAAGGTTGTTAACCAAGGTATTTACATACCAAATAATGTAAAGCAAAAAATTCGTATTTCTAATGACAAAAAGGTGATGCATTAAAGATTTATGAAATTAAAATTAAGGCTCTTTGTTATAGTTCTTTGTGTAACTTTACATAATAGCCAACTTTGGAAACGTCAGTCTTGCACATTCTTGTCAATCTACTGCATTTAAAGCAGTAGAGTATATTAAGTATTACTTTGAATAATTACATTGCTACTTCTATGTTTGAGCATGCTTTTGAAACACTGTAATTATGAAATATTTACAATGTGTAGCCTTCAAACTATGTAAAAGCACAAGTATGACTGTCTGATTTGAATACAAACAACATACTTGCAAAAATGTTTTTACTTCTCAAAATTAAATGCAAATTTCTACAGTCTTAATAAGCAAACCAGCTCTGAAGTTTTAATGTGTGCCTGAATGTGGACAGTAAAAGTTATGTGACATTACTCAGACAGTACTGTTTTTCATTTTAGACTGAACTACTCTTTGTATCAGACTGTTTTCTTTAAGCATGTAGAAAAATTAAATATTTTTTAAAAAAATTATTCCAAGACCTACATATGCTTTCTGAGCTATGCCCACAGGTTTCTTGAAAAATCAATACTGTCTAGCAGGTTGTAACGATTGGTCCACAGTTTATTTCAGGATGTGTGTTCAATTAAAAGCAACTTGCTGTTTTTCAACGTCATTTCTCTTAAAAAGCACAGTGATATAAAACACTGAAGACAGAACAAAAAAATGGAATGGTAACCTAAAGATCAAATTCATTAGCCATTTCTCCTACTATATCAAAATTTGTAGTCAGAATTGTCTTTATTGACTTTATTTTTAATTTTTGTACACAAAGGAAAACATGTTCATATCCATCATGAACAAAAACTTAAAAAGGCAGAACTAGAAGACATTTGTGTCCTTCACCAAAGCAAAGCTGTGCTAAAGGTTCCAAACATTTCCATTTTTAAAATAAATATTTTCTTTTTTCATTGTCTACATTCCAGTCTTCAGAATGTCACTGGAAACTGCAGCCTATCACGAAATACACACTTTTAAACAGAGTCCCAGCTCACTGCGTTTGGTAGCTTGCCATACCATATCCAGCTTGGTTAGGTATTACAGGAGCACCTTGTCCCTGGGCAGGTTGAGCACCAAATCCACCCATCCAGGCAGCAGATGGAGATTGGCTTAAAAAGAAACAGGACAGTTAAAAAAAAGGAAAGGAAAAAAAAGAAAAAAAAAAGAAAAAGAATCATGCAAGTCAGTCAAGTTATTTACAAGACAACAGACAAAAAAAAAAAAAAAAAAAAAAAACATACTTCCAAAATTACTATTCATACCAAAATAGAACAATTTCTTCTTCTCCTTAAAGAGTAATTCAGGTTAAGTGCTACAACATGTGATTCTTGAAAATGGCATAAGCTTTTTAAGAACAAATTAAAAAAAAATTCCCCACAAACCTTGGGTACTAGTTGCATAGGACAACCGCCTCCAAAGGCATGTACGCACGCAGGTGGCTCTAAGTCAACATCAGTGATGCAGAAATGAAAAAAATTCCCAACGCCTAATTGGCACGAATACCAGTGATAGGTTTATCAGGGCTTACTATGTTTAATTGGCAAGAGATAATGAAGAATTACATAAGCAAAGAAGTTACTTTAAAAGTATGTTAAAACAAAAAAGTTGTTGTGAAGACTTCAGTCTTCAAGAGATCAAATACTAAAAGCCCACCCAAATTCTGAAACTGCACAAGTTAAAATGTCAGTATGCAGTTTCTTCTCTCCAGGGTCATGAACCCTTTAGGTAGATACCTGGGCTCCCTGGTTCAGACTCTCCAGTATTTACCACTTCAACTCAGAATCCAGAAAATTTTTAGATACCAGACAAGACCACCATCCGAAACTCTACCATAGATGAAGTCTTTGTGCCTTGAGTCTCAAAACACCCATACACATAAAATGTGTGATCAAGTACAAGTCAGAGTGACTGAGTGATCGGAGTGACTCACCCCATCATTCGGTCCACGGTAATCATTAAAAGGTAAGCTTTAAGCACGCAGGAGTCCACCTAAGGCTTGACACCTTGTGCAATCCTTGAACCAAATGAGCCTGAAACTCAGATATAACATTCTTGAAATATTCTAAAAAAATTAAATGCGATTACTCACTCTACTCCAAAACCCTGTTGATTCCATGCTTGGCCATACATTCCATATGATGGTACTTGCCACCCATTCGCCATATATTGCCCGTACTGTTGTGGATTTCCATACACTTGGCTCCATTGCCCCCACTGACTGTAATCCACCTAAGGAGAGAATAGTTCATAGTACTTCAGGTCCCAGAGATGGATTATGTTCCTTTTGTGCTGCTAAAGGCAAAATTTTTTGCTATATCAATCACAGGCTAAAACGAGCAATAATGAGATCAGACAAATAAATAAGACATCGCTGTGACTTGATTAGATCCTTGTACCGTAAAACGCGTTTGTGTGTGTTCGAAATACCAAAGAATATTTGGTTGGATAGTCACCTAGTCTGCAGTAAGTGAACTAGCAAGAATCAGAATTACCTCAAAGTTTCTCCCTATCTTGCATCATATCCAGAAGACAGTAACAGATATTCCATCAAAATCACTAGCCCAATTTGATGAACAACTGGAACATAACTGAGACAGAACATGGAATTTCATAAGAACACTACCACAAAATTTAGCTATGACAACTAGGAAGGCGTTACAGGTATATACACAATTGCTTCTGTGATACAATGAAAAGGTTCAAGTTACCTGTTGGAAGTTTTTAGTCATATCAGGGGATTCTTTACCCCAATAACATTTAACAACATGTCCTTCAATTGTGGTTCCATTAACTGAAACGATAGCATGTGCTGCACTTTCATGGGTTGAAAATCTAAAGGATGTAAAAACAAACCAATGTTATGCTTTATAGTACTTTCACCTGATTGTTAAAAAACAGTGACTCCATACATACAGAAAATCCAGAGAAAAAGATCTGCTTTCACAGATATTCATCTTCTCAGGTAAAAAGATTGGTGGCCACTTTTAAAAGTTCCAAATTTTTCTATGAACATATGGTGACAGCTTTTAATGTATCAGCAGAAGTTCAGTCAAGTGAAATTACAGAAAGATGAAACATTACAACATGAACAACATCACAGATTTTATTTTTCTCTGTCCATACCTGACAAATGAGTAACCTTTTTCTGGAAACACCCTTATTTCCATAATCTGTCCAAATGGTGAAAAAGTCTGTCTCATAAGTTGATCTACAACATATAATGTTTTTGAATTAGTAACCATCTTGGTGTCCAAAAAGCTTCAATAATAAAAAAGGCAATAAAACAAATCATACCTGTTAGCCCAGAGGCAATTCCTCCACAGTATACAGTACAATTTTTTGGACTTGACTGATTTACTACATCTTCAAATCTCAATTGTTTTGTATTATCTATAAAGAGAGAAGGCTGTTTTTAAGCAGTAAGCTAACAGTAACCACAAAGTCCCAGATTCTTACCTTGTACACAAGTGTGAATTATACATTTAACAAACACATCTAGTATTTTATGACAGACCAGTAGTGCCACCACTACACTGATATAATATACCCAAAAAATCTGTTCTTTAAGATCTGGAAGTCAAGCTAGATACGCAATTAAGTGACATGATTTTGGCAACATTATGTTTTATTCCTCCATCGAACGGTGCCATGCAAGAGAGCAAACACAACATAGCATTTCACATGAAGGTCTTACTTTCTTGTGTACTTTTGGGGGCTGGCGGTTTCCGTGTTGCCCAGTTAGTTCTGATCTGACGGCCTCCCAACCACTGGCCTCCCATGTGTACAATAGCATTTTCTGCATCCTAAAGAGATTAAAATAAAGATTATAACACATCCAAACAAGAATTATGTGCAAGTCTACTTTTAAGAAAGACTTGGTTGTCAGTCAATTCTGTTGACAAAACCAATAACAGTACAAAAAAAAATATATGAAATTCTGAGCAACCACAGCAAGCAGCCAAGAATGAAGCAACATGAAGCCGATCGGTTACAGAGAAGGCCCTCACAAGTGATTTGGCAAAACCTTCCTCCCACCCCCATTTTCTACACACAGGTTAGAAGCCAGCTTACATGTACTCATACATATACTACCTTTACACAACAAGCATCTGCATTAGAACATTTGAAGGCTGCCCCAAAAAAGTACAAAGGTCACGCAGATGCCACAAGCAATTACTGAAATAAATCAACTATAAATTATATATATTAAAAATCAAGTTACTTTGCCAATTGACTGTATTAAAAATACAATACACAGAAGTATATTTAATAGTAACAGATGAAAAGTCAGGAAAGACTTTTTAATCATCAAAATCCCTCACTGAAAAATTTCTCAGATGTAACCCAAGTAACCATTATACCATACACTACGTGTTTGCAAAAGGCACTGTATAATAAGATCTGAATGCGTTTTTTCAGAATCTTAATATGCACTCAACATAATAGGCCAAGCTTAGGTAGAAAAATCCCAAGTTCTGGGAAGGCTGAATGCTAGTTACTAAGACACTGTAATGCTGAGATACAGATAGACTGAGCATGTAAGCTTCCTTTCGTTTATTATTTGCACACACCCCTGTCCCATTCTCTCTTCTGCCCTCTGGAGGCATGCAATTTATGTCTGAACATAGACTGCTTCGCAAGTTCTCTGGATATTAAAGTCATTGTATGAACACACACACAAGTCCATGGCCCACGTGGCTTAACTTCTTATCTTGAGCATCAATTAGAAGACAATCTTTAAGTTCACACTGTAAGCAGAACAGCTAGTAAGCAAGGGGTAAGTTTGCTAATACTTCCAAGAAGCGATTTTTCCCCCAACTGCTTTGAAAGAAGAGAGGCAGAGCAAATAGTACATATGTTTGAAATGCTTTTCCAAGGGCAGAAAGCTTAAGAAAGAAAACTCCAAGCACAAGGGACAAAGAGAACATATGGACAAGTTAAAGGTGAGCAGCTAGCATTGTCCTGCCTCACACTGAAGGTTTCCAGTTATAGCAGACTCATCTCAAACTCCAATCACTCAGGACCTTGATCCTTCTAAGTTCTAATTACACAGAGTGCTCATTTTGAAGACAATACATAAATACAAAAAAGAAATTATCAGATGACCAATAAAGGGGATGGGGGGACGGGACGACAAACAAACAAAACACGAGACAACAAAAATCTTATTCAAGCACCCTCACTCCCAAAACATAACGAATAGGTTACAAACTGACTAGGAAAGGAAACTAGCTCTAATGAATCTTGCTGCCAGTCTTGAGGATCATAGCTACAACAAAAACAGAGACCATGCCATAACTGTTCCAGTTCAATGGAGGAGTTTTAATTTTCTCATAACTGTGGTGTGCATTAAGACCTCAGGCTGGAGTCCCTGAAGTCTGGGAACGTATCCCACTTCACCAAGTCTAGCAGGATGACAACAAATTCTGAAAAACAGGCCTTAAACTACCAGCTCAGGATGGTCGTGCCGTAACCCTATAGGTGCAGCTGCTGTTTGAATGAACAGCAATCAGGACATAAATTTTAGAAGCACTTTTTAGTATTACATTTAGAATTCATCCATTAATTTAGCAGAATGAACACAGATTTTAAATTGGAGTTTTTATGGCTCAGTCTTAAAAGAATCCAGTAACTTGCATTCCACGTGACTGTTACAACACTTCCCCTACAGTCACAGAAACCAAACACAACCATATGATAAGGGAAGAGAGGTACAAGGAAATAAGACATTCATTCCTCTTGTCTATTTCAGCTGCAACAAAAAAAAAATAAATGAAGTGGAAAAACACACTAAATCAAGGCATTCAACTGTAATATCCTATGGTATTTGCAAATCTGAAGAGAAGAAATTCCAACTTTTTCTGATTAAGATTCAGCTCCAGACAACCGTTATGAAGAACAGAAAAAGTCCTGACATGTAGGACTTCTGACCACACAAACAGGCTTAGATGCCTAAAATCCATAACCATTGTGTGTTTCTTCTACGCAACATGTTTAAGGAGAATGGTTTGCAGTTTCCCCATGTTGTCCTACACATGCCTCTCAATTTTCCAAATAATTTTCACTAACGTCTTACACTGTCAAACACTTATTTAACTTCCAAATTACCAAGAATTATTTGTTGAGTCAATTGTATTGCTATAAATGGTAGGGCGTAGCACTATTTTTATCAGTACTATACTGACTAAATTCTACAAATGACATCTTTCATATCAGAAAAGGGATACTAGTCACTCGTCAGAAGCATTTTTTCCCCAAGCGTACATAAGATTATCCATTATGTAACACCATCCAGCATAAAACCAAGAACAACCTTCAGTTTTACAAATATGCATAAGCAAAATACTTTAGAAGTACAGAATCAACTCTTAGCTGTAAATTCATTGCTCAACACAAAGAACCATCGTAGATTTCAAAGCGTTCTACCAACTCAAGCAAAGGACCAACCAAGAGCTTTACTGAGATGCAAATCGATCCAGCCATACCTCAGTGTATGATAGACTTGGTTGCATTAGGTCCCCAGAAAGACTGAGCTTTAGCACGAACCTAAACCTGGCAAACACCAAACCCTGCTGCGTAGCGCAGCGCTGCACTGCTTAGGACTGAGGGCTCCGGGAGGCCGTTTTCCAGGGGCTCCCACCTTACACAGGGCACTGCACTGGGCCTGGCGCGGTGCCTCAGCTAAGAGACCCAAAGCACCGCTGATCAGACCAGCCACCCAGCTCACGGTGGGCGAGACGGTTCCACAGACTAAGCTGAACTACCCTAACGCACCCAAACAAGCTTTCTATGTTCAGGAATCTGCTTTCACAGTGTCCTCCCATCTTTTTTTGCAATGTTCTCATAGCATTGCTGTCATCTGAGGTGTTTCAACCCTTCACCATAAATAACGGAAGTTTTTGACTGAAGTAAATTTGTCCTGTACCCGCAAATTTATCTCCCTTGGGAAAGTCTGATACATAGTGAATATATAAACAAAGAGCGAAACTAGAAGTGGAAAATAGGCAATATTTTAAATCTAAATTGTGATTACTCACCAGTTTGTTATAAAAAGATACAAAACCATAGCCTTTTGACTTTCCAGTTGCCATATCTTTAACTACCCGTGCATCCCTGTGAAAAGAAGCACAGCTATATGAGGGTAATAATAATAACCTGCAAAATAAAAACTAAAAGGAACCACACACACTGTATTGTGAGCATAATTTTTTCTTATAAATTCAGTTAGCCCTAAAACTACAGTCATTCCTGAACTCTCCCTATTGCTTCTTTACCTGTTAGAAAAAAGCAGTAGGACAAAAAAAATAACATGTAATAAACATGCAACCTATCCACATAACCTATACTGGCTAAAACTAGAATGTTCAAATTTGAAGTATAAGAGAAACAAAGTTTCCTTGTCTAATATTCTATTGGCTAGGGTCCTCTAAGGTTTACTGTTCTATAAATTACTGTAACAATTCTATCTAATTTACCATGCATTTTCTAAATAGTTAAATGTCTTCTGCCTAGTGATACAAAATATATGAAATATTAAAAAAATCGAAAAAGAGGAAAAAATAGGAATTAAAAGGCATACATGGCCTGTTAACAGATTTCTTTATTTTTCTTGGTCAATTCTCTACCATCATTTTGGAGTTTGGGTAGCTGTAAATTTTGAAAAATTGACATTTTCAGAAATTTAAGAAAGGAGAATAAAACTAACAACAATGCTAAGCACACCAGTACGAAAACAACAAATTTACACAGAAATTTTAGTGAGTAAGTTAAAATGATTGGAAATATAGAACTGCACTGAATATAGAATGTTAAAATGTAAATACTAAAATATGTATATATAAATAATGTATAATAAGAATAAATAGAAATGAGAAAAAATCTACAACTGAGTTCCAGTGTGCACAGTTCCTTGCAGTTAGCCTTCAAGATCCTGTCCATTCTTATGAGCAATTCTGCAAAATAACCAGAATGCTATTACTTTTAATTGTGACTTGGACTTTAGAAAAACTGCAGGTCTCAGGTATAAATATAGATTGAGAAACAGAAACCTGAATTATTCTCTTTAAATTGATTCTTAAAACAGTACTACTTACCACATTAAGAGACAAAAAGCAAAGTAAACAAAATAGCAGAGGTAAGAAATAAGATTTATGATTCATTTAAAAATATGCGTACAGAACAAGAGAAAAATAAGAATTTTGTTCTTAGAAATATAATCCTGTAAAGCAGTACAAAAACGTTCATGTGCAACTTTGAAAGATTTTTATAGATAAACTCATAGAAGATTAACAGACTTTTTTGTAGCAGTACTCTTAAGGACACACATACTTTAGCACTCACAAGGATTCTTGTAATGTTAAATATGTTCAATTAAAACACCAGGTGATTTAGTATCACCTGAGTTATCTATGAGAAGTTTAAAGAAACATTCTCTTAACTGGCAGAAATGCGCACATATTGTAAATCCACCATTCTTTCATTTAAATATTATAATCTTAATTCATCCCCTGTTATCATCCAAAAAAGTAGATTTCATTCTCATAAATATCAGCTTTTTTTCAAAATGTTCACAAGTTATTCAACTAGCTGCTTCATAAAATTATATTCTAATTGCCCATTTTTCTATACTGCCCACGAAATGCAGTATGAATGCATACAAAATACACCGAGGATGCAACATATACCACTTGTCAAGTCACTATTCTGTACACATTCTGAACAACAAAAAGTCACACTTAGGAACAGTATAAATTAGGGTTAAAAGCACATTGCTTTCAGCAAAACTGGAGCACAATTACATTACTGTATTTACAATCACGATAGATACTGAGATGAAACAATAACCCCTCTTAACTGCCCACCCAACATAAGGAAATTAACATCAGAAAAATTATCTATAAAGGTAAGAAATAACATTTCAACTCAGAAACAAATATTCACTGTCATATTTTCTAACTGATACTGGAAATGTTTATTGTGATACTTACGATATTTTACCAAAAGGAGCAAATGCTGACTTGATGTCTTCTGTTGTTATTTCTGGACTTAAATCCCCAACGAACACATGGAAGTGATCTGAAAATAAATAATTTACTAATCAAATATTTAACTGCTATCTAAAATTTCAACTCCTGAGAAAGTGATGCTCTGCACACAGCACTGGGAACCAGGAACGCCCAGGATTCCATCTGATGAGGAGCAGCAATTTAATCTGTCCACTCCAGTTTCCCCAGTTGCAAAGCAGAAACAGAAGAATTAGTTTGCAAAATTCTATTAAACACAAGATGGGAAGGAGAAAAGTTATGTTTAAATGCAGTTATGACAAATTATTACCACCTTGTGAAGTATTTGTGTAGAAGTGATACTGTGGCATTACTTTACTTACTGGATGTATCTTTTTTCTGGCTACTTGGTGTTGTTGCCCAGTTTACTTTGACCTCCTGAAAATAAGTATAAGATTTAGTATAAATTCACAAAGTTCTTACATTTTATAAGTTCATTCAAGGGTGGGTTACAACTGTCAATGTTTACAAATCATCATTCAATATAAAACGCTGTAGTAATCAGAACATCATAAACGATGTGTTTCCTAAACAAGACTTACTTAAATCAGTACAGTACTTACAAGGCTTACTTAAATCAGTATTTTAACAGTATTATTCTAACAATATTTAACGTTGGTAAACATCTTCAACAAAATGAATGCCCCACGGTTTTATTAGTATTTTTACACAAACCTATATTCCTTAAATCTAAGATTACAATGTAAGCAACTTACCTTTCCCAAAATTTTTCTCCCATTCATAGCAGCTAATGCAGCAGCTGCATCTCTGTGTTCATAAAATTCCACAAAGCAATAAGGGTCATTGCTTGTATGCTGCAAAACAGAAAATCCAACAGAAGAGTTGACCCTTCTGCTATCGGGTTGCTGAGAAGAAAATCCAGGAAAATATATTACTTATAGCTAGAAACTTTAAGAATGATTTGCATTAGATTTATGAAATAGCCTTTGACATTACACTTAAATGCAAGAATTAAGATGGGCTTTTTATTAAAGGTCTAGCCATTTCTGAAGTATAGTTGACTTTGTAGGAAGGCTCAGAACTTTAAGTTTACTAAACTAAAAATAATTCAACTACCAGAAAAGTGATCTGCAGACTGGATGGAAGGGGGGGGAAAAAAAGGGAAAAATTGAGAGAAGAACAAAAATGGTCTTCTGCCTCATCTATATACTTGAAAGCTTGAAAGGTTTGCTCCCCAGATACATTTTTGCCAGTTTTCTCTCTCCTCCTACTTAAGAAGTCTTTCCTCTTATCTGCCTGAAAATCACTAGCAGACGGCAACCTAGAAGTTGCATATTCTCAGTCTCAAGTGAAAAATGTTATACCCAGCAACTGGGAAATATTCCTTTAAAAAGGCTCAAAATAGTTTGACTGAGGGGAAAAAGATACTAATCAACTGATTGTTACTCTGTCAAATCTTGGGTATAACCTCTTTTTGTAGGATGGCCTATCAAGTCACCTTTAAAAGTACTGACAAACAAAGCTCACTGAAGTATAAAATGTACCAGAGTATTAAGTGCAAAGAATATAAAAGTTTTCAGAAAAGTTGATCAAGTGGAAATGATGATTAGAATGTGAACTTTAACACTGCATTTAACCTGCCTAAAAGATGTAATGAGTACAAAAACTACAGCCTTACACCAAAATATCTACATTAACTACTCTGCATGTACATGGACCAAAAGGTGATAAACGGCAATATTAAACTAAACAAATTATTTCTTGCATGGACAGGGAAGGGCGTAGTAGCACATAAAGAAACTGCTTTGACATCAATGTTCTTGCATATCAACCTCCCTCAGTGTCAGACAGAGCACAGCTCTAACACAAGTTAAGTGTAGGCCTTTACCAGTCTTACTGTTTAACTTCTGAAAATTCATGCACGCTTATATGGACAAAGAAATCCTAATTCTGCCCTGTAAAATGGGACTGTACATCTTCAAACATAGTTCTGTCTTCATCTGAAGAGGGGAAACTATTAAGATCTAATAGCTGAAGTGATCACAAGGCCTTTATATACCTAAAATCATCAAGTAGTCTGAAGTCATCCTCCTAAACACTGTCAGTACTAACTGTCCCTAACTGATGCAAAATGAACAGATGAGAGAAAACGTACCTGAGCTCATAAAAGAAGAGTTTAAGTCACAACAGCCATGAAGTGCTCCAAAAGCACATTCACCCCAGATGCCTCAGAAACACTAAGCCTTAATTCACCCCTCTTCCCATACCACTTTCCTGCTGCAATGAATACAAGATTTGGGAAATCCATTTAAGGCCTTAGCAGATTTACTGTGGTTTATGCTCCAAATGAAGTGCAATTTTACTTTTAGACTGGGGGTGCGTGTCTCTTCTTTTGCACTAAGCCGTTGTCTGAACATGAGAAGAGCCTCTTTTGCAGATGCCCAGATCTTTAAGTGTTTAAGATATCGGTAAATGCTAGTCACACCATCCCTCTGAGTATTACATACCCCCAAATGCTTGAAATCTCTAAATGCTTGACATATTCATGTCACATATTCTATGAATGAAAAAGAGTGAGCAAACAGTTGGTACACCTGGCTAAAGGGGGGTGGTGGGGTGGTGTCACAAAAGGAGAACATTCAGGTATAAACTTGACGGATGGTGGTAATAACAACGGACGGGTAAGAACCACTTACATGTAACTCAGTGCCTATGAAAAGTCTACAACAAACTGATTAGAAGGATAGGCAATGTGGACAGGTACTTTGACAGTTAAAAGCGCTGTAGCTGCAGGCCAGTTCCAGCCTCGAATCCAACCTGCACTTGCTGACTGCTTGGTGACAGGTGCTGAGGTCAGCCCAGCGCCTTCACCTCCATATGACTGAATATAGCTGCAAGTAGCTTTCTGTTTATCTACTTATTTCATGAAGACATCTCACTTGTTATTTCTATGGTTATGTAAAATCTTAAAACCACAAAGCCTAAATCAAGGTAAAATGACTGTTGGAATTTCTCATCTGGTTCTCAAGAAATCAAACGGATGCTAACATCTCTCAATCAGCTGAAGGCTGGAGCAACAGTACCTTATTTCTGAAGACTGTATGACAATCAAAGGTTTTTCTCTGAAGAAACAGTTAACAACTGTGCTCGGTTATCCTTCTGTTTAGTTATCTTTCTTCAACAACCTTATAGAAAATGTGGCAGAGCTCTTATCTTCACTAAAAAGTTTTAATAAAATGCCACACGGGACATTATTAGTTAAGACAAAGATGAGAGTGATTAAACAAGCATCAGGTGGATAATAAGCAGCTAAGAACCAAAAAAGCAGTGTGTCACATTGAAAAGAAAAGACGACCACAGAGGAGTTACTAGTAGCGTTCCTAAAGAAGTCTGGTTGCAAGACTTGCCTTTTAATACTTCCATTAACGATCCTGACAAAAAAAATGTGACTGTACTCAGGAAATCCATAATCACAAGTTAGTACTAACCACAAGAAGTAGTAAAAAGTAGGAAGAGCATACAGAAAACCAGAGTTGAAGAACCAAAGATTAAACCTAGCAGAAGTTTTGATTAGTCCCTGCCTGCTTGAAGTCCATCATTTATAAATGCAGAAGGAAGGAAAAATATTAGGGAGCGAGAAGTTGCCTAGGATGTGTCAACAAGAACACAGAAATGGCTACCAAACCTAAACGTACCAGAGTGTTTACAACGGAGAGAAGAAATTATTAATACTTACCAACACTTTGAACAAAATACCTTATCTGGAATACTAGGGAAATTTTGTCACTTTGTTTCAAGAAAAAATTAATTTAAGAACAGACAGGTGCAGACAAGAGCTATTCGCACTGGCACAGAAGAGGCTCAGGAAGAGCAAAACTTATTTTGAAGGATTTTTTACTTTTCATCCATAGTGAAGAAGGATTGATTTGAGAGGGAAAAGCATTACTGAGGCTCACATTCAAATAAAGCGAAAAATGTACAAAATAGCCATGAATAACACTTGAAACAATAAGGTTTCTGATCATCAGAACAATGTGGTTCTGAAAAGAGGGGGTAACAACCTTTTAAACAAAGTGGAATCTCATCATCAGCTGGTAGAAGGTACGTCAGGGCTACAGGCAAAGTACAGGACAGTACACAACAACAGGTCTCTTCTGCAAAAAGTTATCCCCAAAGCCAAACACAGTTAACCTAAAAACCCACTACCAGTAATGTAAAAAGAAGCCCCCAACTCCATTTATTTTGGACAACTTTATCCTAAGTTACATTATATTTGCTACCCCCCTGGATGTGGAAGGCCTTACCTCTGTTATCATTTTACAGCTTTTGCATGGTCCAATCTGGCTGAATAACTGAAGTATAAGAACTTCAGTCACATCTCTGGAGAGGTTTCCTACATAGCTACACAAGGAAACAAAAGCAACATTTTAAACCAGAAATTTCCATCTTTTCAAATGTAATTACTATTTTAAAATCTTAAATGACTATGAAAAATCTCCCTTTAGACAGCCCAGGTATCTTAAAGACAGTATTTACAAATTATTTCATGACATAGTTTTAATGCAGCATTCATGTGGTTTCTAAATTATAAAGTTCGCCACTCAGTTGAGAACATGAAGCTTGGTTCAGACATAATACTGGACACCGATATCTAGTGTCAGTCGTTTCTTTGGCAGAGAAACGTCAAAACCAGCAAGAACATTGCTCAAGAACGTTGGGTAGAACAAGCAACCAACTGGGCAAAGATGTTTTAAGTTTCACTTCCCACTGAGCATCTAATCAAGACTACTTCTGAATTCGGGTACGAACCCACATCTAACTCCTATTAGTTCAGTAGTAGCTACCAGACATAAACTGCGCTGCCTTGCAAACGACCAAGTCAATTTTCTTGTTTTCCTGAACATTTGGAAAACCAGCCCACTCACCAACAGGCAGGGCAATTTATGCAGCATTATGCCATAGGAATGCTCCGCACAGCACCTATCTCAACAGCTACCATCTCTATTTTGGCAGTGTTATTTTAATATCACCCAAACTCTCTGATTTTTTTATTTATAAAACCTTAGAAGTAATTCCAAGTTTTGAAATACCTATCTAGTTTAGATAGAGCCCTAGATTTACCCAGATAGCCAGAAATCCAATAGCAGAGTCTTAGAACTACTTCTAGATACTCTGCTACAGGTTACACTCAGAAAAAGTAAAATCAGGTCACAGAGATGGCTGAGAAAGAGTCATGCATGCAAAACTGAATTCTTTAAACAAAAGTGACTAATTTGTAATCAAATTGTAAACAAAGTGATCAGTTAAGAGAAAGGCTTGTCACAGCAACAGAACTCAAAAGTCATCAGCACAGGGACATTCATTATCTTTACAATTAAGCCTGTCAAAACAAAGTACGCAAATGCAACCAATAACATGAGCAGAACTTTTGTGATTTAGCTGTTGAAACAATATACATTTATTTCACTCTGATCTATTATAGAATGTCACAGTACAGTAAACTAAAGTCAGTCTGAGCTGTTAATACACTTCTGTGAACATAAACGTGAAACAGCATTTCTTAGTCTATGCATAAGCCAAATTCTTTTGAGTATAGCGATTCAAGCGCACACTTCTTTTGCTTAATGAGCATCCCTTTAAAAATTTTGAAAGGCAATTTCTGTGTTTGACAACTGGACTTTCATCTAGCTTCAGCAAAATTAAAATGGACACTATTTGTTTTCATCTGAACACCATACAATGATAAAAACAGATTTTTTTTTATGTTGTTATTCTTTCAACAACTATGAAACAGTTCTGCACTTTCTCAGTCAGGACTCAAATGCTACACAAGATCCAGAGTGAGTTTCTTATATATCACATCACCTGAATATAGAAACATCCATTAAAGGCTTTCATGTACTCATTGCTTTCTTAATAAAGACATAGGAATTAATATAAGTCATTAATACAAGCTACATTTGCAGTCTGTATTGTTATGAATCATTTCAGTAAAGAATTTAAAAACTGCAGAATTCTGTAAGACCAATTACAGGACAAATTGCCCATCTCACTGACTTTTCAATTCTCTATTCTGAAAACTTAGCAGTTAAACATTTATCCATACCTTCTTTCTGAAACCTTAACTAATTTTTTGTTAATCATTCACCAAGATTAAATTGTAAATCACTAATAGTTTTAAATGGAAATATTAACCTTTGCAGATACTACTAAAATCAGATAGAACATGGATATAATTACCAGTAGGAATTCCCACATAAAGTGTCAGCAGTGCTGTGAACTTATTATTAGTACTTGTTCCCTTTGTATGTTGTAGAACACTATTAGTTAACACCATTCCTTAACAGGATACTGATATAAGCACCTGTACAGTAGCACTGAGATGAAATTAAATATGGTGAAGTCCTACTAACATTATTTCTACTGCAAAATCAGATAGAGCAAGGAGTACAATTAACACTATAGAAGAACAAAATCTCAGCCTCTTCTGCATAATAATAATATGGATTTTGGAAATGCAAGAACTCTGAAAAGCCATGTGAAGAATTCCTCTTGGTCTGACAAAAAAGCCAGGAAAATCCATTCCTTAGAAATCTATTCAATTCAGGTTAGATAAATTACACTAACTGCTAGAAGAGATACTAGGTGGTTTTCCAATGCCACTATGTCTTCATCAAGATAGTTGTGAATGAGGATGTTGCATCATAAACTTTAGCTATGAAACAGGTTGCCTCTTCATAAAAATCAGCAGTGTAATTCTGGACCACCGGATTGCTAGATTCAAATGGGATGTCAAGTCCTAACGGCCCATTAATTCTCTAAATGTATATGATAAATACTGCCTTGATGTTTAGTATTACCAGAGTCAGAAGGCATCAATACCTTTCACAAGTTGCTAACACTCTGAAACTTGAATAATACACACAGTGAGAATACTTCACAATAAAAGGTTCATGTAACAAGGACAACATCCACAGAGACCCAAATCTTAAATTGCATGTAAAATAGGGGAATACAAACCTCTACAAATTTGAAACAATACACTAAAAAAATAACACTTGATAGTTACTTCCGTGTCTTTAAGTAAAGTAGGCTGCAGTAATATTACCTCCTTCAGTACAGTTAAAGATGACTTAAAAAAATATACAAGCAAACATCTTCAGTGTACAATGTTTGAATACTATATAACTAAGGAAAGAAATATATTCAACACATTACGAACAGAAACCTTACCTTTCTCGAAACACAAAACTTTCCTCAGCTGATGCTAATCACCTGCCACACATCACCAGCCTATTGGTGCACCCAGTTTTCCCCTTTCTAGCTCAAATTTATACAGGATATAACGTAACATCATATTTTCTATTCTACTTTATGAAATCAAAATAAGTAGAACCACACCTAAAGAAAACATATGACTTTTAACATGCTATTGCATGGTATTTCAATCTTTTTGTTTTATTGCATTTTAGAGGATATATAATTCAAACTTCTTAAAAATTATAAAACCCAACAGAGAAGAAGCACTTACTATACTTTTATAGGCTGTTGTCTTGGTTAATGTGACAGGGCAGCAAAAGTTGTGGCTTTTTGCATACAGGCAATAGTGTTTGTTCCCTTCTGCAAGTTTGAAGCACTTAAATACCAATTAATAAGCACATACAAAAAAAACCCCAAACCATATATATATCTGTATGTAATCTCCTGACATAAATTTCAATATATTACACTTTTGAATGCTGCTGACAACACAAAGAATAAGAAACTGTATTTGAAATTCAGAGATCTTGTAAAATTATCTAAAGAACAGAAGAAGCCCGTATCAGCAAGTAATGAGTTTTAGAATTAAACTCTTTGCCTTGAGCAGAAATATCCTCTTTGTGAAGGTATACAGGTTTTCATTGTATCCCAGACAGCTAAGAAAGAAAGGGACATTGACAGCCACTACTGTTAGGTCCACAAACTCCCCTACATACTACTTGGAGGAAAGATGGTAAATATCTTTTCACACTCACACAGACAACATGCAAGAATTGCCAGATTCCATATTTAAATGAAGGAAGCATGATAAGCAATAAGGTAATTGATGGGTGAAAAGTCCATAGAAATTCTAGTAGCATCTCTGCCTAGTGCTAGTGAGCTACTGGAAATAAAATGATACCAAGAAAAATCCCCTCTGTAGGCTCCACTAGCAGACGATATTCCTCTACAAGAGGACTGAACTGAAAGGAAGTGTAAGAGAAGTGAATCCAGCTCCCGATTCACAGCTGAAGTCTTACTTCTGCACCCCATCCAAATTCCATGGTACTTAGAATATACCATGGCAAGGCTAATGATACAACTTCTAGGTATCCAGTGACTGCTCATGAAGTTTTTTCTAAAACCATTAATAAGAACATACAAATTTGGAACTTTTCTTCCAGTTATCAGTGACACCCGATAACATTAGCAACGCATTAGGTTTCTCAGAGCTTAGTTTCCACATTAAAGTAGAGAAAGGACTTTGATACAGCTTGTGATGGAAGAAGATCTGGCAGTACTCACAGAAAACAGAGGTTTCAAGTGTTCTATAAAAAAAAATAAAATCAGAAGCCCACAGTTCATTTTAGGACCAGCTAAAAAAACTACATGTCATAAATTTTCTATATCACATTTGAATTGAGGGGTGTCACAAATCCTACAAAAATGCATCCCTTTCTCAAGTTATCTTCAAATTGTTTAGAGCAGTAAAGAAAACTTTTTGGTAGAAAATATTGAACGTTACTCTTCACATTTCTATGAAGGCCTACTAGTTATGAAATGTGAGAAATAAAAATGCAAATGGTGTCTATTTTCTATATTAAGCCTCAGAAAATATTTTGAATTCTTAGAGGTTCATGACTGGCCTATCATGACTGAAAACAACGTAACAGCCCTGTAAGCACTGCAAATGGAAACAATTATTCCAGAGATATTTAAGATGGGCATAAATGTTTGGTGGTTTGGTGGGTTTTTCTTTTTATAATTAAAAAAATTGCTTGCAAGCATTAAAAAAGAAAACTCCTTCCTAACCTACAGGTTTAGTTTTTCTTTCCTGAAGGAATAAATGAAATACCAAAGACATTGATAAAGTATCACTTAAACTATCAACCAAGTGCCTATGCATATGGTCAAATAGCTATAGAAACAATTTGTTCTTCACTTTTTTCTCCCTGCAAAAACAAACAAAAACAACAAGTTCAACTAACAATATTATTAGTTGTTCTTGGGGGCCAGTGAGTTTTATTTATATGAGAGATCATAACAGCTCTACATGAAAAGTATTAGCCAGGATAATAATCTTTAAAACACAACTTGCAATTCTAAATTTAAACATATTTCAGATAAAAGTAGGGACAAGAGGGAGGTGTAAGAAA